TGCTCAAGGTATTCCCCATGCACCATTTGCCACTTGCTGACACTACTAATAAGCTTCTAATTGGAGGGCCAAGCAGGCTAAGGTGATCAGTGAATACATATCAGTGATTGTCACAGTGAAAATGCACAAGACTCTTCCAACTGTTGGAAAGCCAGCGAGATGGAAAGTGGTTGGTTGTGGAAGTGATGTCTCTATGTCCATGAATCCAATAATAATACAAAATTCAAAGGATTTAATGTTGGCATTGCTTTCAGCAAGGTACAATACAGGAGAGGGCAGACAAACTTCCTTACAAAACACCTTCATTTAGATCCAAAGCTGAAAGCAAATCTCTTTCAAACTCAGAAGAATTAGGCAAACAAAAGTAAGTTACTTTTACCTCATCAGAGCTAAACAACAGCAGAGGCAGAAGTACTGGGAGTTGATTAAAGGCATTGTCCTGACCACTGATACTGCCATGGCTAAGCAAGAACTGCCTTTATGGGACCAGGTCAGGGGACACTGATTTCTCTATTCAACATTGAGGCACCACTTTGTAAATGACACAATCATTTTCGGGTACAAGAGGTGCTTTAAATGTGGTAACATTATATCATTTCAGCTATAATGATCATAATTACTTATTTCTTTTAATCACAACCCACTTAACCACTTTAGTACAGAGGACTAGTTCAAGGAGTTTAATTTTCATTCAACATCTAATCTTTGTGTTTACCAAAACCCTTCATGAGCTTTGTTTACTGTCTGCTTGCTGGCCGGTATGTTTGATCTTACAAGACTAGATCAGACAGGGTCAGATAAAATACTGATTACTAGAATAAGCCAGGCTTCAGGAAGTAACACTGGTTTTTAAAATCCTCTTTTCACCCAGCTTTTTAATATTTCGCAAAATAAGCTCAAATAAACAAATGAAATTAAGACAACCAGCAATCAGGGTGTTCTTGAGAAACGACTGAGAAAGGGAAAGTGATAGGGATAATTTTGTACTCTGGCCAAAATATGGGGTTTGGTTAGGTCCATTCATTCTAGTGGTATTATTTTATGACACAAATAATTTTATGATAGCCACCAGTATTTCTGTAAACTTTCAATGACCTCTCAGTTCTTGAGACATTAAATACTTGGGATTGACCTCACCAAGGATGACAATTCATTTTGCTTTTGGTACCAGATGAAAAACACTTTAGATATAAAATTATTTTTTTTAATTTATTGATTAAGATACATTTAAAATACATGAGACATTCTTTGTTAAGGCACTTTCTTATTTTTATTATATCCTCTGCAAAAGCAGATTGTTATAAGAATATGATTGGTGGTGGTATTTCATACATAATTGCCACTGGGTTTCATAAAGAGGAACAGAAAATTTCACATCTAAATAGAGTTCATACAAAAGAAGAGTTGGGTAAAAGGAAAATAAGTGTTTTATTAAAATGTGTAGAATTTATGAAAGAATAGTTGATGGGATAAATCCTTCATAATCCCAAGATCTTGAAAATAATTTTGTAATAGAATGAATGTTTCTAGGTGTCTTTGGATTATCCTTGTGTTCAACACTAAAACTCCTAAACATTAAACAACTGTTCATTTTGGTCTTTTTTCTTTCTTTTTTTTTTTTTTTGCTTTCAGATAAAATGTACGGTTTTTGATATACTTTGTATACTTTTTGAGCTCTACACTGTAAAATCTAAGCCAGAAGCAAGTACAGTATGAGATGAGCAACAATAAAAAAGATGCTGTCTAAACCAACCTACCACCCCACCCACCCACTCACTTTCTTCATATGGGAAGCAGGTTCATGGTCCTGGACTTGAAACCAGAGTACATAAATTCAGTCTCCCCATCCATCCTGAAGTAACAGTAACATTAACTCAGATATGTCTGTGTCAACTGTGATTGTTTTTGAAATTAAAGAGAAAAGGTAAACAGAATGTGCTTTGCTATGATCACTGGGGAAAATAAAGTTAACATGCTAAGCCAAACCAATTTAGGACTTTTTAAAGAATGAGTATAAATAGTTTAGCTATAATAACAACAAATTCAAAAAATGCACATTAAAATGTTTACTTCAAAATTTAGACAATTCCATTTGTATATAGTTTTTACATCTGTTTTTAATGATATCAAATTATTGATTGTTCATTTTTCTCATATTTATTTAAGCATTAACTATAGAATTTGCAATCTGATCTTTTTTTTAATCCTTCCAGTAGACTTTTATTTTTGCCAGGTTTTAGACATATTTACTTTGATCTTTCAGAGTATATAATTATTTTACTGTTTGTTTATTTCCACAACAAGAGAAAAAATCTTGACCTAGGAGATCTATATGTGGCAATTTGTAACAGAATCACATAGCTTATGTTTAGGAAATCATGGTTTTGATTAAGAAGCAACCATTTAGTTCCCACTGTTTTATTAAAACAGACATTAGCAGATAATAGGAAACATATTTAACAACGTAGCCTGCATTTAGTTTGAGACATCAGTAAGTTAGCTTGTGGTTTTCTTCTACACTGAATATCAGCCATGGTACATGTAAATTGGTAACTCTTGGGTAGAAAACTGGAGGTGGGGAGGCAGGGAAGGACATGGAATGCTGACTTCTGGGTTCTCAGGAAGAGTCCCAAAGTAGAATTCTGGTTTTGCTAATATTGATTTCCAAATCTGAAAGTCGTAACTTCTTTTTTTTTCATTTTGAAATTGAAGGGACACAAACTGAGATTTTACAAACCAAATCATTACTTTCCCATGAGAGATGGTTCCTACTAGATAGGAAATCCCACAGCGACATCTATTCATAGCTTCTATCAAATTAAATGTGCCTGTCTAGGTCCAACACTTCCTTTTTTCTAAGGGTCAAAAGTTAATAAAACACACTTCTCTGGGTGTTTATTTTATGTACACCATTATACCTGTCATGAATTCTTTGTTTTTCCTCCCACTCCCTTGGTTGATGAATCAACACCACTTGAACTGTTTTATGGCAGCTTGTGTTTACTTCACACATACCTTAACCTTCCCTTTTCTCCTCCTACTGACACACACACAGACACACATAGACTTTTCAACAGCAATGACTAGCTCCATCTCTTTGAATAACATGTGTACACAGTGTCTGACAGCCTCTTCAGGTGTGGATCCTTGACCTACCGAATGTAACCAAGGCCTCAGTCTGCTTTTATGGCACTTAAAGATTTAACTGTGCATTTACTATCTTGAAAAAATATATGGCTTGAAGAATTGAATCTCTAAGAAAGAAAGGAGAAAACTAGAAGACATGAGTGTTAATGTGTGCATGCACACACACACACACGCACACACAAATTCTGTAGTGGCAATTCTGAAAACACTAGAGTGAAGAGTTGCCAGTATTTCTGAATCTGAAATTATGCTCCAGCCTATTAAAAGAGGACACTCTCTTCTGTCCTCTTATAACAGCAAGTAAATGGGATCTAACAAATGACCTTGAAGCTGTGTGATTCTTTTGATTTTTAGCCAAAGAGGATATGTTCAAGCACTTTAACAATCCTATTTTAAAAGAAAAACTTGGAGGCAACACTTACAGAAAAGAAACCCTTCTGAACCAGGCAATCATGGCTTGTAATGGGAAGGAGTTAATCATGTTATTCTGTACAATGGTAAATATTAATATTCTAAAACAAGTGCCCAAATCAGAATCTAAAGGGTTCTTAAAATTTTAGACTACATTGGGGGAAAAAAAAAGAATCTTCATTCAATTTTCACTACACTTAATTTCTCCTGGGTAGCTCAACATTTTGACTTTCCTTATAAACTGTGTATTTAGCATAAAATGCTCTCATTCTTTTGTAATTGGAAATGTGCTGCCAATGCATGTAAAATCTCATTTCCTCAAAAGGTAACCTTGTAAACAAGCTCCCAAATACTCAATAGCCAACAAGGATTATTTCAACACTGTCTCCCCTGAGGAATCCTGCAGGTGGTAAAATAAATAAATTAATCCTTTACTTTTACCTGCCCACCATAAATTGTCATTTGGTCCTCAGACAGAGTCAATGAGCTGTCAGCAAGGCTATGAATACCTATAATAAAGCATGATCGATGACGTCATAATCATGCAAAATTATGGACTGGAAGGACCTTCAATCATCAATGTTACAAAAAATTTCCCTAGTCCCCTCAAGGACTAGTAGCATTTATCTGAATTGGAGTGAGAACAACAGAAGTTTTCCAACATTGATATATTTGCAAAGGTAAAATATCACTGATATATTTAAAGGGCTGGGTGGTCTAAGTAGCATGCTACTTATTATACAAAAGAATTGTATTTTCAGGACCAAACATAATTCCATATATAATACATTACTGCTAGTATTACAACTACTATTAATTACTATTATTATAATATTATAGCTATTATTTATTAAGAGGTTACTTTGTGCCAATATTATCTTATTTAGTCCTCACAGCTATCCAGTAGCATAGGTACTTCTATTATTTCCAGTTGTCAGATGAGGAGGTTGAGTATTGGTAAGATTAAATAATCTGCTCAAGCTCACTCAGCTAGCAAGTGGGAGACAAAGATTCGAACGCAAGTTTGCCTGACTGCAGAGCCATGCTTTAATTGCTGCTCTGGAACTATCTCCAAACAAACACAACATCAAAACTCCATCTCTGACCAAAGATTTCCTGCTACCACAACAGTTGTTCCAATTTGTTAATCAGTGCTCAAACTATAAGTGCTGACGTAACCCAGACTGACTGCTTTTAAATTTCCATTCTAAAAGATTTTGGCCATCACAGGCATCACTTGTGAAAACTATAAACTTCATATATTATGCTAGGAATTTTAGTTTTAATGGGCCCTATTTGGATGTCATAATAGAAATACTAAGAATTTTGCCTTTGTAAAAAATTATATATACTATATCTAAAATTAGCATAAATTCCAAACAACCAACTCATTGACCTAAGAAACTAAAAATAGGCTTTAAAAAACAAAAAAGTCAGTTTACCTTTAATCTTCTTGTACTTTTTATACCATCTCCCAAACTCCTGGCACTTGGTTGCTGACACATTGGCATAATATGTGCTATTTACAATGGATGAAATCATACTCTGAAAAGAAAAAATAAAACGGTTATTATTCAAAAATATGGCTACACCCTTTTTAGGGACAAGAAAGGGCACATTATAGCTCAAAACAATCTCTTTTGTCTTTTAAACTTGAAGTCATCACTTTCCTGCAAATAAACTATTTAACCTCAAACATGATTACCTGAATTTACTCTCCCTTTTAACTTATAAATGTACAATGACAGTGCTTTCTCCAAAAAGCCAACCCTGGGGCAATATCAAAGATGACGGAGGGGACAGAACATGCAGATTAAATGCAAAGAGGAAGAACAGTTGTGATTTAGGAACCAGAGCAAAAGGTGAGATCAGATACACCAGCATCCATAATCCAAATAATGCCTTTCAGATGTTTCTGTTCTGCTTCCAACTGCAACAAGCTTACATAGCCAAGAATCTGAGAACATCCGTGCTACACACTGCAGAACAACATTTAGGCAAATAAGTTAAATTAATATGATTTATAGAAACGTGTGATTAGCACTTGTGTGAAAATTCACCAAATGAAAAAATTAACAGTGCTATTTTAGAGCAGGGGAAACTAAACATAACACTTGTACTGTGTTTCAACCAAAACGAATCAACGTTAAAACTTTCTGAATGTTTAAGTGCATGATTCTTCCTTGCTCTTCCTCCCCCTCCTCAGCTCAACCAACCCCTTCAGTGATTTGTTTGTAATCTGGGTTAAAAGGAAAGAGACTTAGCACTAAAAACTTAAAATTATTATTGCACACTTTGAATTAAATTTCCTATAGAAATATGTTTTGCAGGCACTACAGCATGTTTGGGCCAAAATTTGTGGCAGGTGTTACCTTATACCTGAATTGACTGTGATGTTACATGTGTCTGTTTTATACATACATTTTATTTCTACAAATTTTGTCTAAGAATAAATGGGCATAAACAACTCAAGAGATCCAAATGACCTATGTAAGGTTTTATATCTTCACTTGAAATCTCATCTTTCTCAAAAAAGTTATCCCCAGACATGGAGCAGTTCAGAGAAATCTTAGAACTTCTAATGACATTTCTACAAAGTAGTAGAGATAAAAAGGATAATAAGAAATCAAGTGAATGGGAAGTTACTTAGTAGGAGATTCAAACATCAGCAGACAGTCCTTTATAGATTCCCATTTAAAATATCAGGCTCCCTCTCTTTTTTAATCACTATGTGCTACTGGTGGGGGAAGGGATTCCTAATTCAATTCACAGAAACCTCTTTGGCCCTTCCTACATAGCAAATGGCTAGCCTCCCCCAGTTTCTGATCTATAAACGACAATTCTTTTCTCTAAGGGGAGATAGTAAGAACTCTTTTAATCCCAGGCTCTGAACACAGCACTGAGAACTTGTTATCCTCTGCAAAGGCACAGGATATACAGCCATGGCAGGAGTCAGAGTTAAACGTTCTACTGCAAAATGGTCTAGAAAGCAGATTAAAATGGAAACTGTCTAAGTACTACCTGGAGCTGTTCTTCAACTCTTCCTGGCCCATAAGATGAGACCACAAGCCCACATCACTCAGGCCCCAGATAATCCACATTTCTCTTACTCTCTAGTCACCTTACTTTATACTAGCTACAGCTACACCTTCATTGACACTGCACAAAGCCAGTGTTAACCTATGTGGCAAGGAAATGAATATTTTGGGCTTCTACTGGTTTCATCACCAGATCTTGGATTTCACACAACTCATTTAAAAAGAAGGATTTGGCTACACAGACTCTATCAGACTTGTTTTCTTCCCCAGACTATTATAAATTAGTTTCTATCTCTATTGATCACAGAACAAAAAAATAAACAATTAAGCTATGAACTAAGCAAAGGAATTAGGTAGCAAATAAAGACAATTTGCTGGATAATGAGAATCTTTAATCACCAAAAAGGTCTCTTCAAGTTTGTGACACATTTTATTCATATTAATTCTTTGAAGGTCTTTACACCTAGATGACAACCAAAATAGTTTTACTGTTAAGAATTGTTATAATTCACCCTCAGAGGGCTTTAAAAACAGAAGAGATAAATCTTGGGAATACTTCGGAGGAAAGGCCATGTTACGTCTGATTATTTCAGTTTTAAACATAAACATTTTCTAACCTTAAATTAGACTGTTATATTCTCATAGTCTTAGTCTGAATCATAGGCCTCATTAAAATACTCCAAACATAAGCTACAAGGTCACCTTAATGTTAGTATCAATTAATTTTTTAAAAAATCAAAACTTAATGATATGCTACGCTGAAAGGGGCTAACAGACCCAACACATGCTGACTTTACGGGAAACAATGCTATCCAGAGGTCTTGGGATACAGAGAGTCTGTATTTACCATATTTCATCCATTCTGAGGCTATTTTTTATACTTTAACATCACTAAAATAGGGGATGCATCTTATAATCAATAGCATCTTAAATCAGATGAGATACAGTTGATGTAGAGTGGGATGAGTAATGATTAAAATCTTTCCCATCTACCACCCTGCTAAAAAGGACTTAATTCCATTTACTGCTTTTAAAAATATGTATGTAATTCTGCAGTTTATGTTGCTCTTTTAAATTTTCCAATCATTCTAGAGCAACCACACATTAGGACTTTTAGGATCCCCACATCTTTTTGATAAATGAACAAGATCTAAATCTACTTTTTACTCCAGAATGGAACCACCTCTTGAGTATCTATGTTAATAGAAAGCAATACTGATACATATACCTCAGAAGATATGTGTATTGCTATTTTTAACACTTAAACAAGGGAACTATGTTTTACCAAGGCTACTATTGAAATGATTTTCATTCACTAAGCACACATCACTTCTCATGGTGGTAAGTTGTGAGAAGGAAAGGATGAGAGCACACCTGTGATGGGCAACCACGGCAACCCCATTCAGACACTTGGACAAAGCCATGAACACTGATTGTAGACAAAGATATTCTATGAATAATATTACGTATTAAGATAAATAAGAAAGTTTAAAATGTCTTCCCAACCACGGAAAGTTGGGGGAAATTTCAGACTTCTTTGTAATTAATTACGAAATTTTAAATATAAAGATTTTGAATGAGGGATAAAGCCTAGGTGTCCTTATTTATAGACAATGTGACACAGTTTGCTACTTAATATATATTTGTAGTCACTGACACATAGCTTGCCACATATATTTGAAAGGTTTTTTTTTTTAAATAAGGTATTTGAGGAATTAAAATATACCAGAATTTTCTTTAGTTACTCCAAAGTTTACAAGCCAATTTGAATTTGCTCTAAGCCAAACTGCAAGAGAATATTATAATATTGTTATTATTACTTATGATAGCTAGACTGCTCAATCTAAAATTAAATTTTCTTTTAGGTTCCTGAGATAAATTTTAAACTTACTCATTTTTAAACTAGCCCAGAGAATAGATGTCCCACACGATCACAAGTATTGTTCCATTTTCAAACTGAGGGCCCAGAAGTTCAGTGTAGAAGCATCTTGTCCGAAGCCAAATAGCACTAGGAAGTACCTCAAAGAGACTCTACTGCTGGCCACACTATTTCATGGGTCTCTTAAGAAGGAAACTTAATTAATAAAAAGAAGAAAATATTCACCACCAATTCCATCAGCTAGAACAAGGTCAAAAGCTGATGCTAGAAACCAACTCTTTAGACAAAACAAGAAAGGTGATGGAAATAAATAAATGAAACAAAGTTGTGACCTCAGGCCCTTTATATGAACTAATTAAGGAGTTTAGAATCAGAGAAAACTAAGGAACCTAAAGGCAATTTAAAACTTAATAGGAAAAAGCAAAACAATAAACACAGGTTAAGATGATTTGTACAATATACTTGGAAAGACAGACTCCGAGTATCCCTCCTCCTAAAAAAAAGAAAGATAAAATAATTGGACATCCTTCATTGCATTCCCCTTGGCTTGGTGTGATTTATTTGTTTGAACAGCAATGTGATATTAAGAGTAGCTAAGCTGCAGATCATAACACACTTGCCATGAAAAAGAGCATTTTAAAACCTAAGTGATTGATTACATATTCCATTAATAAGAATCCCCTGTCTAGGCAAGAAGGGGAAGGGAGGCGGGGAGGGTGACGGGTGCATCTCCTGGCCTCCCTTTTCACATCTACATGGAGGAGAGAGCACGAGACAGGCAATGAGTAATATGTGCATTCTTTGCTCATTTTCCGCCTTTTCAAGGTGCTTTCTGATATTGCAATAACATATTAAACGTGAGAGTATAACGATACTTCAATTTACTATAGTACAGGGAAAAAACTGATTTGGAGGAGTTACTTTGTCATGAAAAATTCATTTAATGTCACTTGACAGCCTTCTAGTGTCCCTTTCTATCTCCATTTCTGAGCTATAATATTAGAATTGAAAACTTTTGCCATTCCAATTGAAAGAAACACTTCCTCTGGGCTTTGCAGCATGAAAGACATTTGCGAGCTCTTCCCCTAAGCCGCTGCTGAATTGCTCATTGGTCTGACGTCAACACCTTCGGCTGTGATTGGGGATATGGATACCAGCGTCAGAGGGCTGTAAGGATTCAGTGAGATGATCTGCATAAAATGCTTACCACGAGATGTGGACTCAGAAATGCCGTATCTCTTCCCACCGTGCAACCGTTTCTTACGGTCACTGCAATCCCCTGGTTAGGAATTATTTTCAGGCTGTCATTTGTGAGACTCCTTCAACATGAGTTCATGAGGTTGGGCTATAAACTAAAAAACGTCACATGAAAATAACTAATACAGACAGTTGGCAACTGATTAACATAAGACAGGAGGTATCCCCACTGTATACATGAATCTAGGATTAAATGAAAAGGACAGTTGGCAACTGGTTGACATGATACTGGTCCTCACAGTTGATCTGCCACTTGTTTGTAGATGTGCACATGCTCATTTTGTTTTTTTCTACTGACCCAATTGGTGGCTTGGTTTCACTGTCCAATTATTTTGGCTCATACTGTACATATGAGTTAGGTCCTTTAATGA